TATATATATGCACACATGTGGGCCTCCTCTTTTGTCAAAAATTTTCCTCACGTGAATCCCTTTTTGTTTCTTGTTACGCGGGGCAGCTTCATAAAAAAGTACACTTATCGCTGAGGCTTGTAATGCACATTTAGACTTCTATACATGTAGATTAGGCGCCAGTTGTCTATTCCTCACGTGCCGAATGGCATCTTCTTCGTAACGCTTAGATAACCCATATAAAGGTCCGTTATGGCCTGGAACCTATTGCTTAAGGGCGCATAGAGGCTATAATATTTTGTCCCCTTCCAAGCTGTAATCCTTTTTAAACAGAAAATTATTTCACTTCTTCTTTAGAGCACATATGTACCTATACACACATGTAATTTATGAATATGCAACAAATCCAAAACGTATTTTTTTTTTTCCTTTTCGAAAGCAGTTATACACGTAACTAATTGTGCAATTTTGTTTATCATTCTTACTTGATTTGTGAATTTAATTTATTTTTATTTCTCTCCTCCCCCGATAATCGTTCACAAGACCAAGAGGAACATGTGCACATGTGATCGTCCTAACAAGTACGTGAAGAAAGAATTAATACGTGAAAGACAGCTACCCATTTTTAAATTTACCTTTCCCCCAGTTAGTTAAGATTTATAAATGTGGTATTCATTTGAGTCACGCGCGAAATATGTGCCTTTTAAGTGTTTTTTACCTGGAGCTACCAAAATTGAAAAAATTGGAAAAACACGAAAAATTAGAAAAATCCGAAAAAGTAGACACGAAAAAACAAGCGGATGAGCAGTAAAGCGGCCGGAACCACGAACCAAGGAGACGCCACAAGTACAACGTATATGCACTTCCCATGTGTTTCGCCATATCCCAAAATGAATGATGATTTGGAAGCCCTAGTTAGTAAATCGTCCAAGGAGGAAAATGAAGAATGCTTAAACGTGCGCCTATACATTGTGCAAATTTTGTTTATCTTTATTGTGTGCTTCGTGATTTTTATTCTTTTTTTCATATTATTTTTCCTAGGAGTTTTTTAACCACACCGTTTGGCCCGACTGCCTACATGAGCATTTTTCTAATTCTGTCGACATATTTGGACGTTGCTGCCCCAGAATTGTAAAAAGAATAACTGTTTTGAATTTTTTTCTTTTTGTTTTGCGTGAATGGAATTTTTTACGATAATTTGATTTAAGAAAAATGCACTTTTAAAAAAGGGTCCTCAGTATGGTTCAAAAAAAAAAGACGTTAATAAGTTGGCACGCTAAAAAGTATGAGGACATATCCACCGAAGCAATGGACCTTATTTCACAAATTACAAAAGGCAGACTTGGTACCTCTGTTCATATTCTCATGCGACAGAAAGTGGCTAATCAAATTTGCACATTCGGATATAAACGTCCTGTTATGAAAGAAAAAGTTGAACAGGAAATTTACAAAGTGGAAAATTAGGCAGTGCACATAAAATGAATGCCTAGATTTTTTTTTTTTGGAATTTGTAACAATTAGCCATTTCGCATAGTTCTATCATACACCACGAGGCGGAATATTTCGAGGAGAATGATATCCTTGTCCCCATTTCTAAATCGAGTAAGCGAATCTTTGAATTAACAGTAATAGCGTATAAATATGAGTTACCCAAAGGTAACCTTATTGAGGTACCAAAAAAAAAAAAAAAAAAGATGCAGAATATATACGCGCAAAATCGCTTCAATTTGTAAATGAACGAAATGATATGTATATAAACAGGGAGAAAAAAGGCACATCAAAATTGAGAATAAATTGCTTGGAATTTTTTACAAAATTGTGATAGTTGAAAGATTTCCTTTGCATCCTTTAACTTGACGGCATCACATGAAACAGGATTTTTGGGGGGAAGAAAAAAAAATCGTTTGGGATATACTACTCAAAATTACCATATCTGAAGTTAAGAGGAATTTTGTTTCTTCCCCATTTGGATCCTACTTTTTTACATAATCCTATGTGGATGTGACGTTGCGTATATCGTATGCATCGCAATTTTCAGCCACGAGTTTGAAAGCCCTCAACTGCTGCAAACACTTCTCACATGAGGATGTCAAGATTGTTTGGGAGGCAAGCCAACCCAGTTATATTATGCCTTCTTCCAAATCAAACATATTTGTTTAAACGAAATTTGAGTTCTATAAGAAGGTGAGGCAATAATGTTAAAGTGTGCAAAAGGAGAGCATTTTATTACTCGGCAGATTTATATTTATAGCTTCTTTTCTTCGTAGCAGTTTTTTTCTTTTTAACTTCGCTGTATGAGCGCTTGTATGTAGGGCCATTCGTACCTGACCGCCAAGCACGCTTCTGCTATTTCGATATACATACGTTCTGGGAGGCGCAAGAGGGGCCCATATAACTTTGAGTTCCCCATCCGAATGGACAAATTACGTGAACGTTTTTGATTTAATTTTTCCCCTTCGCAAAAGAGGAAATTCACCTGGGAAGAAATTCATCTGTGAACAAATTCACCTGGGGAGAAATTCATCTGTGAAGAAATTCATCTGTGAAGAAATTCATCTGCCAAAAAATTCACCTGCGAAGAAAATCATCCCAGATAAATTCACATCTGTAGAAAGCCACCCCTGTACTGTAAAAAAGGTAGCTGGGAAATGCCCCCAGTGTTGCCAACGTTTGGAATGCTTCAAATGCTGCAAATCCCATTTTTCCAGGGGCCCAGTTGTGTAGCTCATTTTTGCTATATCCTCCCTAACTTAAAAATAGTGCTCCTGTCCAGAGAAATAAGCTCAAAGGGGCGCAAACTTGGGGTAAAGCAATACGTGCCAGTGGACATACCAAGACAGACACATCAAACACGGTAAGCATATATTTGCGCGCCCGACCCTAGAGAATACCCAAAGATGAGCTCCCTCAAAGCCATAATCGCCCCTTCGGTACTTGCGTGCAACATAAGCAAACTAGCGGAAGAAACTCAGCGAATGGAAGAACTGGGGGCAGAATGGATACACCTGGACGTAATGGACATGCACTTTGTCCCCAACCTGTCATTCGGCCCACCCGTCATTAACGATTTAAGAAAATACACAAAAGATATATTTTTTGACGTCCATTTGATGGTGGAAGCTCCCGAGAAGTACGTCGACTTACTGAAAACCTCGGACCAATTGACCTTCCATTTTGAAGCCCTAAATGAAGATACAGACAGGTGTGTAAAACTAGCACAACAAATACGGAACAGCAATCTATGGTGCGGAGTTTCTATTAAGCCCAAAACAAATGTAGAAAAAATTGTGCCTCTGCTAGACACCAATTTGATAAACACCGTTTTGGTGATGACGGTAGAACCAGGCTTCGGAGGACAGTCATTTATGCATGACATGATGAGAAAGGTTTCATTTATTCGAAAAAAATACAAAGATTTAAATATTCAAGTAGACGGAGGATTGAATATAGAAACGACGGAGATATCTGCATCCCACGGGGCAAATGTTATCGTTGCAGGAACGAGTATTTTTAAGGCGGATAACCCCAAATTTGTTATCGATACGATGAGGGAATCTGTGCGTAAATATTTACATAACTAATGCTTTTGCTCTGCCAAGAACGGGCACAATTAATCCGGACCTACGCGCCTGTTTAGTTGCCAATGCGTTTGTCTGTTTTTTTTTTTTTTTGGCAAAATGGTAACTTCGGGGTGGAGTTTGACGCTCATTTAGGGGCCCATTTTTTGGTCCATCCATTCCTCCTTTTTTCCGTACTACTTTTTATTCGCCCTTTGCCCAACACCCATTTGCGATATCCCTAAGGCAAACCAACCCCCCTTCCATCGCCTCATTTTGTGGCAGAGCTTCATGAAATAAGCGTTCAGCGAACGTCTATGTTTTATTCTCCATTGCGTAAGTGTATATTTAAAGGTACACAATTTGGGGGGAAATACATTTTAACATTCAAATGTTAAAGGTAAGCCGTGCATTCAACATGTATGGCATCGAAGAACATCTCGTAATAATGATAGACCGTGACGCGGCCATGTTGAAAAAAAAGAAAGAAAAAGATATGCTCAACAAGTACAATGATGAAATGGAGGTGTCTAATGATATCAAAAGCGGTGTGTATTGTAGTAGCGCCTACCGAGGCGTTAAAAAAAGGGACTAAATATTGGGGCTTGACGCAAAGCCCCCGCTGAGGATCAACGGAATGGCTTGAAACAAAGCTTAACATGGAAATCGAAATGAAAAATGGTAAAACTTAAAATTGAAATTAAAATTGAATATAAGCTTAAAATGAAAGTGCAGCGACGAAATGAACTAGGGAAGGGAAAAATACAATATTCACAACAGCCTTTGCTTTTTCGCGTCTTTTTTTTTTCATCAATGAATTGCGTGAAAAAGAATTACTATTAAAGAAATAACACTAGGTAAAAATGGGGTACTGCTTCAAGTCACGCATTTTAACATGCCTGGGTGTTGGACTACGCCGCAGTTGCCTAGACTCACGTGAGCACGCATGAGTGGCTGCCCATCCCATGGGCGAACGGCTGTGCGTTCAACTAAACACCCATGTGAATACATGCAGTTAGAGAAGCCGGAAAAACATCAACTAGGCGCATCTCCTGGTACATTATCGTGCGCCTTACAACACTATGCGTGTCGTGCGCGTTGCACGTATTTGCATAAACCTTTGAGCTTTTTTTTTTTTATTTTTTTTTAGCAAGGCCTCAATAAAAAATAACCTGCGCGATATTCCCCTCATGCTTTACCGCACTGGGCATGCAATGAGCACATTCATCAATTAGCCAATTGTTGGTAGCTGCTCAACAGGGTGCAGCCATTTCCTTACCGCTTTTACAAGAAAATGTAATCCGCCTCTGTTCCACCCGAGGAAAAGGAAGCACGTCTTGCTGTTCCTTTTCAGTGGCCGATCCGCCTGTATGGCGTGTACATACGCGCGGTTTTATTCATCTGTCCCTTTTTTCTTATGCACTTGGTTCACACTCTCCCACTCGCGGTTCCCCTACACAACCGTCACATATCAATATCATGTGGAAGGAAGACAAAATTCTTGTCTACGTTTCCTTGATAATTTCTAACGTGAAATTTGTTCTTATACGTGTCTGTCTCTTCATTTGGTTCGAAATGACTATGCGGAAATCTCGGCATCTGTTCTGCATTTTGAGGGGGAAGGTAGAATGGCTTATTTGTACCGAATTGATTTCTCCTGTTGTTGGCATTTCCGCTGTTTGCAGTGCTGACGCTGCATTGGGGGTTAAGATTGTTGAGGGGGTTAAGGCCGCTAACGCTGCTAATCCCGCCAAGGTTGTTAAGCCCGCTAACGCTACTGAGCCCGCCAAGGTTGTTGAGGCCGATACTGGCAAGGTTCCCATTATTGTCATAGTTGCTGGCGCCATAGTTGCTGATGCCATAGTTGCTGACTCCGTAGCTGCCGGCTATGGGGGTGGCGCCGCCGGCGTTCCCCATGCCTCTATTGCTGTTGCTCATCTTCCTGCTCCTTTTGAAGTTTTTGGTATTTAGCTTCATCATTTCGTTCATCAGCTGAGCGTTTACATCATCAGGGTTTCGAAGGACGTGCAAAAGGATATTCAACTTTTCCATGTTGTTTTTTACCAGCTTCTTCCACTTTTTGGCGGATATTAAGACATGGTCTGGGTGATGACAAAAGGCGCATTCATCTCCGTTGAGGCATTTATTCCCATTGTACACATGTGCACAGGGTTTACATACTCTTTGTTCATGGTCCAAATTTTGAGAACACTTTTTGTAATATTTAAACAATTTCTGGACGGACTGATTTTTCGATAAGCACTTGGTCATGTTCAGGTTACTAGAGTCACAAGAATTCATAATCATATGTTCATTAAATACATTTCCCGTGTTATTTTTATTTCCATTGAAATCATCTAGCACGTCGTTTGTTTTTATTAAATTCATTTTGGTGAAGGTGCTGGAAATATCAGAACTATCAATTGCATCGAAAGCACATGTCTTAATGCTATCCTGTGGGGATACTAGATTAGTTTCTTCAAAAAAGTTGTATTCTTTATTTATATGTTTTTGTATTCCTGCATGGCCCCCTATGGTGTACCTTCTCCCCTTGGTAGAACAATAAATGATATTATTATCCGGTGAAATGGAAATGCAAGCCTGCTCATTTAACGTTCCATTTTTATTTTCCGCGTATATATATATATTGTTACTATTAAAAATGATATTATTTCTTATGTCATTTTCGTCACTATATTTTGGAGGTAAGGTCCTAAAATATTTGAACACGGAGTAGTCCATATCTTGTACATTTTCTTCGGTATTTTCCAATTCTGAAAATCTTTTATTTACAACATATTTCACCTTCTTGGTTGAGTAATCTGCGTAATTGGACAACGTCCTGCAGATATCACTATTCATTTCGGAGTCCATTTTTTCGTCGTTGTCTTGTTTCAAATGAAGGAGGGAGTCGTAGATGGTCTCTTTCTGGTGTAAGAATATATCATGGATGCTGTTGTATTTTTCTTCCCTCATTCTATGACAACCTTGCTTAATATTTTTATTGGAAAATGTGCATTTTTCCTCGGGTGTCACTAGGTTCATTTTTTTTTTTCGCCCGTTATTTTTTTCTTCTAGAGGGTTGTTTCGCGGGGTGGAAAATTAAGGCAGAATACACGCGTTAGTTTGGTGAAGGGCGTAAAGAGGTGCGTAAATACGTGTAGATGTGCGCATAGATAGGCATATATACACGCATATGTATGATATACACACTCATACATACGTATAAACATGTGTCCCACGGAAGCGAACGGGGAAGGGGTTACTTCCAGAGTTACCCTCCTCACATACGCACACACGCGTTCGAAACGATCACAGTGAACTTCTACAAAAGGGAGCAGGCAGTTCGTTCATTATTTCTGACGTATGTCGTAGCTTTGGCGAACAGTACGTTATTCTCTAGTGCGTATGTTGTTTTTTTTTTTTTTATACATACCCATAAGGAAAAAGAAAAGTTTTTTTTTTTTTACACTAAAAAGTTTCAGGCAGTTAGGTTTAATTTTGCAATTCTTTTTAAGCGATATATTTCGTTAATTTCGCCTTTTTTCAGATTTCATATGTCTTTGGAAAAATAGGGACATAAAACATAAAAATGGAATGATCGAAATTTCCAAAATTTCTTACAAAGCATGCATTTGCGATGTTAATTCCGTTACCATACATTTTGAGTTAAATTTTTTTTTTTTCCCTAATTCAAAGTTACAACATTTGTCGTTTGTAAAAAAAAGTTATAGCCATGACCACATTTTAAAAAAAAAAAAAAAAATATTCCATACGTGTGTCTATGACCTGATAAAAACAGAGTTATATTTCAAAACAGCTAACAAGCCAAGATTATTATTATGATTTTTTTTTTTTTTTTTTCCAACCCTTCAGAAATAGCTATTTTTTATGTTCGTTGTAAAAGGTGTGAGCGGTTATTAATTGGAAAAATAACATAAGGAAATTTTTTTTGTAGAAGGAATGTTCCTCTTTTTGTTAAAAAAGAAGGACGGAATGGCTTCTCTACATTGGGGACGAAAAAAAACGCGTACACCAGTGTATATTTTTCGATATATGCATATGCACGGGAGTACAAGGCATATTACGTGGTAGCCAAGAGGGGGGAAGGGTACGCGTAAGTCTCAATTTTAGGACATCCAAAAAATTTGAACCAGTGTTATTTATTATTTATTATTATTTTTTTTTTTAACTACGCTGCACACGCGGGTTTGTAAATTTTCCATGATATTTCGCATAAACACATTTTGCTGATTTTGGTTTTATTCTATAACAGGGAAAAATAAGCAGTAATTTATGCTTTAGGCTTAATTAGCTCAAATGTGGAAAAAAGGAAAAGATAGGCTTAAAGAATAAATCGCTGCCTATCCGCTTTAACCTTAATTAAATGCGCAAATGTGTGAGCATTTTTCTCGTTCCTCAAATTTCGCGATTTGTTTTGAAACACCCAGTGGCGTTGCGCAATTATGTGCTTCCTCCTTCAGCTGCGTTAATTTGGAGCACTTTTTCAAACCGACGTTAAGTTCCGCTAAGTCAATTTGAAGGTTTTCCCGGTTTCGGAAAATAAAGTGGGGTAATTCGTTATTTTCCATTTTTTTAAATGTATATATGTCTTCATTTTTCCGAACAGTGATAATGCTTACAAGCTGCTTTTGACTTCTTAAAAATAAATAGCCCCATAGGGGAATTTTTTTCATTTGTCTTTGTCGCGTATTTCACATGACATTATAGCAACGGAAACCTCCAAAATGGTACAAAGAATGAGCCATTAAAAAAGGAACATAACATAATCTCTCACACGCGGGAAAATACAACTTCGAGTTGAAGTGGAAAAAATTAAGTCGTTTTCTTTTTAATTTCTCGTCTTGACAATGTTGCGCATGTGTGTATGCTAAAACATGTGCGTTTCCCGGCGCATGAAATAAGGAATTGCTTGCTATGTACGGAAGAATAACACAACACTAGCATTTTTCCTCAGAAACTTCTAATTGGACTTTAAACCGCTGGACGCAGATCATATGGGCACATCACAATCCACGATGCTTTTCACGACACTTTTTTCACCACGCTTTGCACGGTTCTGTTCACATTGCAGCATTGTTGCTTGTATTTATAGCTTGCCAAATTTTTTTTCACCGAAAATTTGCAATTATTCATCTGATAATGTACAAAAAATTGGCGCTGTCATTTTTTTTACGGCGACACCCGTTTTTTTTCGCAAAATGAAGCGGGGGAAAAAAAATCAGCATTATGAGTAAACCATGAATTTGCTTTCCTCCAATTCGATCTATCAATTGACTGAAGTTTTTTACGAAATGGGCCAGGGGGGAAACAAATAGAGAAGCTACCATTGCCTCCGTCATAGTAACTACTCGTACATATGTAAATGTATTCCTACCTAGGAATACTTTTACGTGAGTATAAAAAGCAGCCAACTCATCCCGCCCAGCGCTTTTAAAGTAACAAAATTGCCTGTCGACGCGGATCCGCTTTGAAGGACGCATTAAGGTTATTTTTTAAAGCATCAAAAGAATGTTCAACTCGTTATAATAAACTTTTGGTAAAGAGGGGCAGGGCGGGAACATGTAAAGGGCATCACCATTATTTGCCTTGCATATTTGTTCATTTCATCGAGCGAGCAGAATTCGCTCAAAGGTTGTAGCGAACCTGGGGGACTTGCTTCTGTGAATGCGTAAATGTATACGCTTATGTATGGTTGAGGGCTAACACATGCTTACGAAACGAATGAACGGGCAACATGGACCTGTTGAAGGAGTATGACGATAGTGAAGACGTGGAGGAAGACGGCAATGATGTCGCCGAAGGGATGCGAAAAGACCAAGGGGAAGAGGAAAAGAGTCAAATGGTAAGTGCAACTCCCGTTAGCCTAATAAACTGTGCCCCCGACGTTGACACATACGACTTGGAAATAAAAAACTACAAAGAAAAGTTTAAAAATATAGGAAAGAAAATAATGTTCGACGACCCGACTTTTCTCAGTGTACTGAATAGGCCTCAACAGGGACCCAGCATAAATGAAAATTACAACTTTTTAAAAAATGCATCCAAGAATCATTACAATGGGTGCATAGAATCAACCTATGTGAATAAAAACATTTTTGATTATCAGTACAACCAGTTTAACATAACCGGAGTAGCGGAGAACCCGGCCCTGAAAAGTTGCTACAAGAAGAATTACCAAAATTATATAATAGCAAGGAGTAGGGATTATGAACTGCTAAATGATGGGCAGTCGCCATATGATCAGAGGTGTAAGAAGAAAAGAATCAAAAATGAAAGGCAGGATGATGGCGCTTTGGAAAGGTATAAAGGCCCCTGGGAAGATAAGACCACATTAAATAGCAGACAGGGGGAAAAGACTGGAAAGGGAGAGCCACTCGAGAACGACGGAGAAAAGGCGGATTCCCAAATGAATACTGAACAGGCTAATAATGAGAAAGGTGGGTCTAAAAAGGCAGCAAAGAAAAACGCAATTATGAAGTTAGAATCTTGCAGTTTAGACGAAGCAATTAAAAAAAATGTGGTAAACGAGAAAAGTACCCTATATAATGATAAGGTAGTCTCCACATTACATATAAATGAAGAATCAAATGACTATTATCATAAGTCCTGGTTCGAATTGCCAGCAGAATATAAAGAAAGAGAATTTATGATAGAAGAAAATTTTCCTCCTAAGAAAGAAATTCACACATATAAAGGACACAAATTGGGGGTTCAGAAGATTCGCTTTTTTCCCAAATATGGAAATTACATTCTCTCTGCCTCGTTAGATCATACGTTAAAATTATGGGGAGTGTATAAATCAAAAAGTTGCGTAAGAACATACAAGGGACACTTTAAAGGGGTTAAAGATGTGCTTTTTGATAATGACGGAGTGAATTTCCTAAGCTGTAGTTATGATAATAATGTAATTTATTGGGATACAGAATATGGGAAAATAAAAGGAGTGTATAATCAAAAAAAGACTCCATACTGTCTATGCTTAAATCAAGATGATCCGAACACGTTTTTGGTTGGAGGTGCTAACAACAAAATTTGCCACATAGATTTCCGAACAGGCAACATTGAATTAGAATACAATGAACATTTACAAGCCATAAATACTATTACACTATGTGAAAATAATAAAAAATTGATAAGTACATCCGATGATAAAAAGATTTTTATTTGGGAGTATGGGCTTCCTGTCGTTGTCAAGTATATATCAGATGCATCGATGTTTTCAATAACAGCCGTTTCGGTGCACCCAAGTAACAACTTTTTTTTATGTCAATCGATGAACAATGTAATTACTGTTTATGAAGCGACGGGGAAATTTCGACTATTTTCAAAGAAGACTTTTAAGGGCCATCACAATAGTGGTTATGCAATTAACGTATCGTGTAGCAATGACGGGAAGTACGTCATTAGTGGGGATAGTAATGGAGGTCTGTTCATTTGGAATTGGAAAAAAATGTCAAATTTTAAAAATATGAAAGCGCATAAAAATGTCTGCATAGATTGTGCGTGGCACCCGTTTAAGACCTCAATGTTGGCAACCGCTAGCTGGGACGCCACCGTTAAGTTGTGGGAATGAACCGAATCAGAGGGTACCAAAAAAAAAAAGAAAAAAAATATTTCTCTTTTTTTTTAACCTCCTATTTGAAGTAGCCAATCGTTTTCAGGTCACTACATCACAACATAACTCATTTTTTTTTTTGTTCAACATTCACGTTTTTTCATTTTCTGATTTTGTGTTTATGTAAGCACTATTCGGTTTTATTTTTCCTCTACAAGAATTAAGCCCCTTTGCGCTATTCTTTTGAAACATGTGAGACATTTTTTTTGGAAAAATTTTAAAATGTACAAAATTGTAAAGAAAGATAAAGTGGGGAGAGGATAATGGTTTCGAATTGTCCACCGCAGAAATGTGCGCGCTGTTCCATCCGAGCTTTGGAAAACCTGAAAAAAGACTGCTCCTCGGGTGTTACTGGAAATCTGTAGAAAGGGAAAATGGTAAGGGAGGGTGGAGGCCGAGGTGTTACACGGTTCCACTTTGAAAAATTAGCGTTAAGACATAATGGTGCACAGTTTGAGCTGGTTATATATGTGGGAACGCATCCACGCGTTCTCGCTATCTTGCTCGTTTTTTTTCTTTCACAGCAAGCAGCCGTACATTCATCGAAAAACGGGTTCACATAGTTGAGGGTGTTTAAGTTATCAGTGCGTATCTGAACCGCCGTGGACCACTCGTGAATGTGAAAGACCATGAGTAGGTGATGTTTTGGTGGCAGAAAAATCCCCACGAATTTTTTAATCACGTCCTGATTTGTGCTACTTCTAGGGCTGGTCCTATGTTGTTTCCCCTGCCCTTCCCTCGATAAATAACGATTTATTTTATATTTCGAATGGCTATCATTCTGCGAGTGCCAATTTTGAGTTATTTTCCCCACCGCGCTGTCCGCACCAGTTTGGGTAATTCTTTTCTTGCACTTTGCCTTTTCCCCAAACATCCGATTAACACTCGGGCGAAATATACGTCTTACGCGTTGAGCAAAAGATGTAGCACGCTTATTATTGTGCCTTTTTAGGAGAGTCCCCTTTTTGGTACTATCCCCTTTTGCGCTTCGTTTATCTCTTCTTTCCAGAGTTACTACATCCACATGGTTGTCATGGACAGAATGACTTAACGCATCATACGCAATGGTACTCATAAATTTAGGTTTGTATCTGCGATAATGTGTTTCCTTTTTTCTGGTTGTCACACCGCCCTTATGATCATATGCTTTCCTTCGATTCATTGTAGAGTTAGTCGTCTCACCGGTTTCACTCGAACCGAGAGGATAGTTATCAATGTAAAACTCATCAAAAATGGGGTTATTAATTTTTTTGTTTTTTTTCCCATACGCATAATAATATTTATCATTCAGGGAGTAGTTTCTCCCTCCGTGCATTTCATACTGGGGGAAATTATAGACATTCCAATTCTTTACATTAACATTTTCTTGGACCACAAATGGGTGTAGCTTTTTCTTAATCACTCGGAGAACTTTATCCGATGTCATGTTCAAATATTTCGCGGACTTATACATTTTCCCAATTTTTCCATTCCACACATCTTCAAAAATGTTTTTCCAGAATTGAATGCTGGCTCTAAATGGTTGGAAGAAATCCGCAAAATTTAGATTATATTTTCCTAGAAATCTTTTGAATGTTTTTTTTTCTCTATTTAGAAATACGATATATGCATAGAACTTGCTCTTAATTAGTAATTTGACTCCTATTTTGATTAACAACTTGTATGAATTGGTGGTTTTTTTTACTCTGTCTTTTATGCTTGGGTTGGCTTTTCCGCCTTTCCCCCCCACATGGCACTTTGCTCTCTTTAAAAATGGACTTCCTCTTAAGATGCAATTTATTTTATATGCTTCCTTTTTTATTAGGTTTCTTTTTAGGTCTGCAAAATGGGTGCCATGTGTTTCTTTAGGTGAAGTGTATTTCTTCTTCTTTTTGTTTTTTTTGTTCTTTTTCTCCGTTTGACTTCCTCGTTTGGTTCCGGCACCGTTTGGTGAGTGCCCCCTCGATTGGCACATGGAGTGTTCCTCCTGCACGGAGCCCCTTCCCTTCTTTAACCTTCTAATTAGCATCCTCATCATATGCTTTACCTTTCCCCTGTACAGTGCACCGCTATACCGGACGATAAAACAGTTTTTTTTTTTCAGTGACAAAATTTTTCTTCCTCTGGGTAGCCTTCGGAACAACGCGGCTTCTTTCGTCGTGTGTTCATCACGGTGTTCCATCTCCGCCCGTGTATCATGTTTCTCTTTTTCAGAGGAGTCATATCTGCTAGGGGGACACTCGCTACCTAATTGTATGTACGGAATGTACACATTATGTATGTTCACAAAATCCCCCTTGTGCACGAAGCAGACGTTTAGGCAGAAGAGTGTTTCGTTAGGGTTCCAAAGTGGCTCTCCATGTGGTGTACCCCGCTTGCTGTACGTTTTGTGTTTACCTTTACGTGCGGTTATGAGGAGTAAGTTAGTGGGTGTTACACTGGTAACGTTCTCGGGGGTCATGTTGCTTTTCTTCCCAGGGGATGTACCTCTTCCCCCGGCTGCTTCTACACCGCGAGAGTACCTCAAAACGAACGGAAAGTAGATGCACTGCTCCGCACTAGCAATGTAGGTGCAATAATTTTTCAAGCTATACGAGTCGTCCCTGTAGATGCTGTAAAACGAGTCCGCGTTAAAATCGTTGCTGTTATAGTAATGGCTGGAGGGGAAGGCACGTGCGCCGATATGTACCCCCTCGGGATCTCTTGAACTACGTTGCGAGTAAAAAATGGTCGATCCGTTATCCTTCAGAGATAGCACCTTTCTTCTGTCTAATTTGTAAATTTTTAATTGAATAAAATTCGATGTCTCATTTTTTTTTTCATATTTTATGTTTACGCCGCTGATGATTTGGGCCGTTTCTGGATGGTCACCCAATGGGTTGACATCTATCCCGGTCAGATCGCGGCTGTAACCTCGACACTGCTTCCCCAATTTAGCACACTCAAGGAAGGAAATCTTATTTTGAATTATATTTATGTAGTACCTACATGTGGCGTGTAAATAGACATAGTTGCTTTCTTTGATGTGCCTCAAAATGGAAAGAATGAATGGGTAGCTATCCGAAAATTTATGACGGTGTAGAACCACTTTTATAATTTTAAACATGACCATATAAACCTTCAAATTGAATTCATATTTTTCCAACACTTTGCTGAGCATCTTCATAATGGCCTTAACATTTGTATATTTTATTTTTACAAGGTAAAAAAAGAATGCCAAATAATTGATGATCTTATAACTTGGCTTCATTTTCATTAAGCACTTTAACACCCCATTTTGGATAGCGCAGAATAATTGCAGATCTTTTTTCTCATGCAAATAATGTAACATAAAGTGGATTATGCGAACTGAATTCATGTCGGATACTAGCATATGGAGCAGTTCCACCTTTAGCCTTTGCTTCGACTGCCTAGATTGACTACTGCATTTTAAGAGATGGTACGCGAATATAAGAAAGTATATTTTTTTCTCATGGATCGAATTGTTCTTGCCCGGCGAAGTATATCCGGAGTGGTCTTCCTCCAATGGGTTTTCACTACTGATGCTACGTCTGGAACACTCTTTTGAGAGTTTGTCAATCGGTTTGGCTCCTTTGGAGTGCTTCACATTCGCTCTTGTACGGCAAAGAGAGTTTATATAACACTGCAGGCTTCTACCACTAGCGTGATTTTTTTTTTTTTTTTTTTTTTCTTCTTCTTCTTCTGCTACTCCTCTTCTGCTAGCCACGGCCAACTGTGAAATGCTTTCTCTGGGGTTGAACTTCAAGCGCAACCTCGTCTTTTGTAATTTTTCCCCGCATTCGTTGCAGTCACCTTTCCACTGATTGGTGCATACCAAATTGAATCTTTCCTCTAAAGATGAGTTTTGCCAAATTCGTTCTTTACAACATCGTGATTGTGCACAGAGGGGGCGACTCCTTTCATGGCCACTACTTTGTTCTCCTCCAAATGAGGTCCTTTCAGTTCTTACTTCATGAGTGCACTTGCATGATGAATCTGTCTGTGAGGGCATCTTTCCTAAGGAGTGGTCCTTCGAAAGGGGGAGTTCACTACGCCAGGGGTGGTTTCCATTCTTAGTAGCATCCCCCACCACTGCATAGTTGTGATAGGTATACAAATTTTTGTGTACCTCTTCCAACTTGATAGGTATAGGTCTATACTGCACAAATTTTAGAACAAAATAATACTTGATATTTGATAAATCTTTCGAGTCCGAAAAAGAAGGAAAGAAATGATTAATGCCGCTTTCGCACAAATTCAAAACGTATGTTTTGTTTAAAAAAAAGGAAAAAATATATATTATGATTATTTTACTAATATGAGTGTAGAACTCATTTTTTATAATTAGGATAACTTTGTCATACAGTTCTCGAATGACATGTTCATTCACTTCTTCGTAAAGCATGTAAAGGTAGTTGACGCAGACGGCGAAACGGTAGCTATCATTTTGGTACAGAAAATAGTTATTCTTTTTTAGTATATCAGCCAAGGTGCTTGCAAAAAGGGGAGCGTACCGGGTGAAATGGAACATCAAATGGGGATTTCTACTTAACAATTTTGTTATCCTTTTTTGTACTATCTTTTTGCACTTGTCTTCGATGGGGATCGTTTTTTTTTGCCCCGTTGCTTCCCCCTTGGGGGGGTACTCATCCTGTGGGATTTCTTCGTTGCGGCTACGGGCCCAATTAGCGGGCCTATTAACGAACCAATAAGAGAACCCATTCTCAGCATCGCTGACCCGATGCAATTTTTCCACTTTTCCAACTTGGCCTATGATATGACACCCGCTGAGGTTGACATAAAACGGCAATGTAATTAGGCTCCCCCAGAAATATGAATTCGTTTTTACCCCCTCTGAGACTTGGCTGCTTTTGCAAAATTCTTGCAATTCTAGCCTTACGTGGTTTTCGCTTACGAAAAAGTTAATTTGGTTGGCAAGGTTGACCACGTCACTGCGTTGTGGAGCCTCCCGATTGTTCCTCGCAGCGGCGGCATCTCGACAGCCATCCATATGAGTGTTCCTTCCATCGAAGCAGTTATCCGCATTGCCGGTTTTCCTATCGGAGTACTTATCCACATTGACTTCCTCCCCCTCGGCGCAGGGCAGAGCTTCATCTCCTTCCGCAAGCACTTCATGAACGGTCGAAAAATTCCCCAAAATTATCATATAATTAAACAGAACGAACAGATAAAGATGCCGCAGGGCATTTATAACTACCTCTTCACTTCTATTGTTACATCTTAGGTTGCTAAATTCTCTAATTAAGCTATACAAATCGACGTTGTTGTTTTTTAAGTACTTATTTTTAAAGTAGGTGTTGTTCCTTCTTGGCGAAGAAACGGAGTAGTGGTTTCCTTCCCTTTCGAACATGCAAATAGTGGTCATCGTCCTGTTGTAAACATCTCCGAGCAGGCAGGATAAAATGCCTGAAGGGGGTTGGGGGGAAAATTATATTATGGTACTACACACCGACAATGTTGCACCAACTTTACGTAACAAAAAATAGCGCACAATGTAACCTTTATACAAATTCTCCATCTCGTATAGGGACAAAACAGAGTAGTATTTCAAAATTTGAACAGAAACAAAGTGGTGGAAATAAAGTTTCTTCACATTCGCCTTTTTGTCATTATCGTAGATTTCAATATGACCGCAATTGGTGTAGGGGAAATTTATATTAATTCTGTTGTCCTTCTTGGCATTTTTTTGCACAACTTTTTTTAAAATGGAGGAACCCTTTGCAGTTAGCCTATTTCCACTACTTGAGATTCTAACCCGATTGACATCGCTCACCTTTGTTACAAATTTGTGATCCCACGTGTTCTTATTAAGTAGAAACAATTTGTCTTTATTAAAATGGGACAATAGTGATGAATTATCGAAGTAGTAGTAAAATTTACAATTAAAATTGTTCAGTACATTTAGAAGAAAAGAAATAAATTTGTACACCCATGGGTACAAGGACGAGTTAAGCAAATCGAAAATTAGGATCAAGTTGGTGAACATAATGAGTAAGTGCACCTTTACACGTATGCTTGATGATAGGGTTTGAAACTTTATATTACTTATGTGTAAATCATTATTAGGAAACAGATTAATAGGGATATAGGATTTTTTAGTTACAAAATTATTGTTCTCAATCAGTTTGCACTTGTGCTTTTTATATTTATATAATTTTTTTATTTTTTCTCTACTGATAATGTCATATGGAACGTATTCGGTGTTTTTCTCCTCCGCTTCGTTTACGCTTTTATAATTGTTACTATTTTGAGTAGGTGCATCGTTTGCTTTCTGAGCGATGTCTGGAATGTATTTTTCTCCATTAGTCCATTTTGCACCACTCGTTGCGGTTGTACCGTTACTGGTTGCTGAGACTAAACTTGTGTGATCCCCTACGGAAGAAGAAGAAGAGGACGATACTTCGTCACCATCATCCGTTTTTCCCAACAAATTGAAATTTTCCTTGTGATATTTTATTACGGCATCGTACAAATTGGTGTATTTTTTTTTTTTAATATATAACAAATTAGCGATCCCTTTTGCGTTTCCACGGACACTTCTGTTTCGCCCCCCGTTCATGCGTTTGCTCGTGGAATGACCGCTGTTGTGGGTTCGCTTCAAGGTGAGTTTCCCTGCTCGTCGCCTGGACTCATTTCCTCCCCCTGCTGAGGCCATAACCTCTCTGGAGAACGTCTCGAATGTGTAACTTTCATACCTTCGCAGAAAAAACTGCTGGTAATCTGCGCTATTTTTAAATATATAATTAAAATGAAATAAACTAAGATAGATGTTTTTTTCTTCTATGTACAGGAAAATGTCCTTAATATAATTGTTGAGGCTATACCTATCGGTAAAGCGTGTAGCGTCCGTTCTATTTACCTGCACCCCTTTCCTTGCACGCTTTTGCATTCTATCGAAATCGACTTTGCCCCTCGCGCCATCGTTTCCAGGGGCACGTGCGATACGGCTTTCCATGGTGCCCACCCCAAGAGCGCCAACTGTGCTACTTTTGCAGATCGGAACTTCCTCGATTTTCAGAATTTCCGCATTTTTCGCAGTTCCTGCATTTTCCCTTTGGCGGACTTTCCCAAATTCGTAGTAGACACCTTCATCGTTCAATATCAAGTCGATCACGAAAAGCAATTTTTGAATGTCCCCCAAGGATAGGAAAAAACAGTTGTTCAGAATGTAATCGATATTTTTTACAATGATTGAATCGATTACTTTATTTTTCGCGAAGGTTTTACTTAATTCGCCGTTGACAATGGTTAGCGATAATATGTTATAAATAATTATTTCGAGCAACTCCTCCGGCTTCGGTTTTTTTCTGAGGGAGCCCATATTACTCAGTCTTTCCTTTCCCATGGTCTTTTTTTTTTTTTTTTTTTTTTCTGTATCCAGTTATCTATTAGGCTGGGTTCTGTCTGGTAGTTTGGTATCCTCACGTAGCTTCAGTTTCTTTCCTCTGATCGGCATGCTTCTCATTGTGCGCTCCCTTTCCATTAGAAATGTTCGCATATGTTGCCTTTTTTTTTCTCTTTTTTTTTTCTTCTCCCTTTTAAGGTTTTACTTTGTCACGAATTGTTTATACCGTTTAGTCGGCTAAATTTCCATTTCGTCAGCTTAGATCGTTGCATGTCTTGTTAGGCTTTGCCAAGAACGGAAATGAGAATCTAAAAAAAAAAAAATATGTCTACCTCTTTACTGTTAAGGAGTATTTGCTGATCACGGACAATTTCATTTGATTTGTTCCCTTAATGTTTTTTCTCCTTTTGTTGGATGGCTTTTTCGCAGTGTGCAATTTTTGCTCAGGTTTTTCCTTCCCAATTAGTTACCTTTTCGCGTTAGTTTTTTTGAACATTTCTCAATTTTGTTCGCGTAAAAAATCATTTCTCTTTCCATTTCATTTTTTTCCTTTTTTTTCATTCCTTTTTTTTTTCTGTTTGTTTCTTTTCATTTTTTTTTTTGAGCACTTGGAATTTCACGACCGAATTTTTGGCCCTAGTGGGCGGAAGCTGAGAGCATGTGTAGGATCGATTTTTCTTTTTTTACAGGCACTGCTCGGCGTTTTTCATTTTAAACGTGTTGCCCATTTTGTGACATTTTTTTCAGAGCAGTCGCAGTCGTAAGCACGGTGAAAATTGATACACATATATATATTTTTGTGCATATAACTATTTTATGTGCACATGTGCGTGTTTGCATATGTACACATTTCTTCCTTTTGTGTTTTACTCAAATCTGACAAGATTCACGTACGCGTTTGTATGCACATATACGTAAGTCCATTTCTTTTGTCGCGCTCAGCTCATAAAAGGGCTAAGTACTTGTGAAGGGAGGTGTTTCCGCAGTCTCCCCCCCTCTTCCATCCCAAATGGTTACTCACTCGTGCCAGATGCGTCAGCACACAGTTGGGCTTAACTAAACACCTTGACGCAAGTACCATCCCATGTGGTGTGTACTACAGGGCGAGATCGAAGAGTTATGTCGAAGGTCAGCCGAAAAATAGCCACTTTCAACCTGGAAAATGAAAGGAAAGGTGAAATCCTTGATAGACACAGGAACGATGCATATGTCACAAACTCTTTTAACATAAAATGGATGAGAATGTTTACTTAAAATCGGAAGGAAGGGATAAATTATGTACCTTGAAAGACTTGAAATTGAGTGGAGATTATTTAATGAAACGGAAAAGGAAAAAGAACAAAGCAGATTTTTCTATAAAAAATAACCAACTAATCTTGCCAAACAAGTATGCCAATTTTTTAGAAGAAAA